CAAGCTCACTCACATGACTGTTAGCAGGCCTCTTGGCCTCGCTGGCTTTGGTTGGACACATCAGTTCTTTGCCACATGGGCCCCTGAATAGGAGCCAGTCACAATATGGAAGCTTGCTTCCCCCAGAGTGAAGGCTCCCAGAGAGAAAGAGAAAGAGAAGGATGAAAGCCAGATACTTTTTGTAACCTAATCTCAAAAGTAGCATCCCATCATTTTTGCCATCTTCTATTCACTAGAAGTGAGTTCCAGCCCACACTCAAGACCATGAGTAGCAGGGAGGCAGGGATAATTGGGCGCCGTTTTAAAGGCTGCCTACTACAGGGGATATTAACAAGTAATGTTGTCCTCTAACATTCTTGTACATGCCTTCTGGTTCACATGCACAGGTTCACACTGTTCCCTACATACCTAGGTGTGGAATTACTGGGTTATAAAATTTGTGTATGTTCAGCTTGATTAGGTTATATCCAAGCTGTTTCCAAAGTGTCGAGCCAGTTTGCACTGGTTCCAGCAACAGATGAGAGTTCCTGTTGCTCCACATACTTGTCATAACTTGGTATTATCATATTTCATTTTTAGCCAGTCTGGCAGCATGAAATAGCATTCCATTGTGATTTTAATTAGCATTTCTCCAATAACGAAAAGTGGTGACCATCTTTTCATATATTGATTTGTGCTTTCTCTCTGTGAAATTCTGGTTCCTGTCTTTTACTCATTTTCATATTGGGCTATCTTTCTTATTGACTCAATGGAATGCTTTCTTTATATAATCTGGATGGTCATCAATCCTTTGTTAGCTACATATACTGCAAATATCAGCTTTAAGTTTGGTGCTTAGCTTTTCTTTCTCTCTATGTCTGTCTGTTTCTTTCAATGAACCAAGTTTTAAATTTTAATTTCAAGTTATCAGTATTTTCTTTCATAGCTTTTCTTGTTTGGGAAAATTGTTTCCTCAAGAAAAATTAATTTTACTATATTTTCCTCTAAAAGCTTTTATAGCTTTGTGTTTGGCAATTCGTCTTAATCCACCTAGAAATTGATTTTTGTGTTGTTTATTCCATATGAATAATCAGTTGTCCCAGCACCAGTGATCTGCATGAATCAAGTTTTCCATATATGTATGAATTTGTTTCAAGCTCTCTACTCTCTTTTGTTATCTATTTGCCTAACTCTGCACCAATACTAAATTGTTTTTAACTACTATAGTTTTATAATAAGGCTTGAAATCTGCCAGGAAAGATCCTCCCGCCTCTTTATTCTTCTTCTTCAAGAGTATTTTAGCAATTCTTGGACTTTTGACTTCCCATATAAATATTTGAATAAACTTGTCAAGTTCTCCAAAACAAGAAACAAACAAGCAAACAAACCAACCTGCTGGAATTGTGATTGATATTGCATTACTTCTATGTATCAATTTGGTGAGAAATGTCTTCTTTAGGATGTTGAATCTTTCCATCTATGAACTTGGTATATAATGCTATTTACTTAGCTCACTTTTAATGTTTTAAATGTATAATGTTGAATAATGTAGTATAATGTTGAATAAAAGTAGGGAGGGTGATTTTGTTTTATCCTTAATACAATAGAGAGAAAGATTTCACTATATTAACTTTAAATATTGCATTTGCAGTGGTTATTTTATAAATGTCTTATCCCATGATAAGAAAGTTTGATTCTTCTTTTGGTAAACACTTTTATTATGAATAGATGTTTTATTGAATGCTTCTTCTATAGTTATTGATTTTCTCATATAATTTTTCCTTTAAATATGTTAATATGGTGAAGTATAGTATTCAATTTTTAATATTAAATCAACTTTACATTCCTGGAATAAACCCTCTATGGTAAATATGCAATAACTTTTATATATAGATATAGATATGAAGATAAGCACTAGATATTTGCATCTATATATGGGAATTGAGATTAGCCAGTAATTATCCTCTTTGGTACTAACATTATCTGTTGTTGATATCATCTCATAAAATAACATGAGTAGTATTCTCACTATTGCTATTCTCTGGAAGAATTTGTGCAAGATTAGAATTACTTTGTCCTTGAATATTTCCTCAAATCACAGCAGAATCCTCAGGGTTTGGAGTTTACTTTGTCAGAAGATATTAAACTTCTTGGTTCAGTTGCTTTAAGAATTATAGGACTATTTAGGTTTTCTTATGGAGTCAGTTTCCATCAATTGTATTTTCCAAGATATTTAACAATTTCATATATATATATATATTCAAAATTAATAGAATAAAATTGTTCATAATATCCTCTCATTATCTGTTTAAATATTTCAATCATCTGTTGCTATGACCCCCTTGTCCCTCTGTAAAACGGGAGGACATGGCACCTGTCCTGTCTCAGAGCTGTATTGTTCAGGAAGGGCCTTTGCCAACAGAAGTCGGACATCAGAAAGGGTCATCTAGCATCGGAAGCGTGTGGAAACCTCATCAAGAACACTTTTGCCAACTCCGAATATACATACATTCATTACTAATATATGTATATTTTCTTTCTTTTTTTATTTTGATTAATTTTGCCAGAACTTGGACTATGTTATTAGCCCTTTCACATACTCACACACACAAAAAACTTTGTCTTTTTTTTCATTAGTTGTTATTTATTTTCTTACTTCTTCCTGCCTTCTTTGAATTTTTCTGCTATTTATTTTGTAAGCTCTGAAGTTATATACTTAGCTCATTAATTTTGAGCTTTTCTTCTTCTGTAAGCTCTTAAGGCTATAAATTTGTATCACTACTTTTTAGCAATATCTCATAAGTGTTGATATGCATATTTTGCTATTATGTAGCTTTAAGTATTTATAATTTCCATTATGGTTTCTTGTTTGAGCCATGAATTTTTTAGAAGGGTGTATTTTAGTTTCTAATCGCTCACATAAAGATTATTTTATTATCTTGTAGTTAGTGTTGCCTAACTAATTCATAATGTAATCAGAGAATGTATGATACCAATTCCTTTGGCTTTGTTGAAGCTAACTTTATAACCTAGCATATAGTCAGTTTTATTTGAGTCCTTAAAAATAATGTGTGGTCTCTAATTATATAATGTCCTATGTATATACCTTTAAAACAAGTGTGTTAATTATGCAATCCAAATCTGCCATATCTACAACAATTTTTTATCTGCTTGAATTATCAATAACAAAAATAGGTATGTTCAAGTCTCTCATGAGATGGATTTTGAAATTTCTCATTGTAGACTTGCTTTTTTTAACTTTACATATTTTGAGGCTATGTTATTAGTGAATTGGGGCAAATTGAAAATTTTATCATAATGTAGGGATACAATATTATGACTACTTATTAATGCTTTTAGTTTTAAATTCCTAATTTGTTCAAATATCAAATCAAGGTTTCCTTGATTGACATTTACCTCATTTATCTTTCTT